AAATTCTATGTTTTTCGTGGCAATGAACCTTTTTTCTTTCCTTTCTTCCATTGCTCAAAAACGTGTAAAACACACATTGATGTTTATCACTTGAGAAGAGTCACGTCAAGCCGGGAACTATGGAAAAGGTGAGATTTCATTTATGTATACATTTCGATGAGATGTTCGTTTAATTTTTTTTTTAATTCTGGGCTACTGGAATTTAATTTTTTTGGGTGTTTGATAAGCGAATTGAAATTCTAGATTTTGTTACAATTTGAAATTTTTATTTATGTTAGAATTTTTTGCGGTTAGAGGAGTATTGCATTTTTTCGGTTCAGTTAGTTCCACATTTTTCCTCTTCTTCATATTTTTAGTTCACTGACTTTGTGTTAATTATGAGAAAGGTAATTAATATTTAATTACAGCACTCGAATGTCATGGTTCTTAAGTCTATGAGACGATTATTTATACCGGTGGCTTCCACGCTTGCGTAACCACAGTTGCAACATAATGTGTCTTCTTCCCTCATGAGTGATTAATCAAAAGGGGTTACTTAAGCATGTACGTTCTTTAGTTTGACATTTCATTCACTTTAGTGTGCGAGTTCAAAGACGTTTTACTTACCTCTTTCAGAAAGATCAGCAGGGTTGCCACTGAGTTGCATACAGGGTGAGATGAAAAAAAAACTGCAACCAACTTCAGACTGCTGTCATTTATAAGTCACTCGTCCGACAATTGTTAACATTATTCCAGTGACAGCTCATTATATTGTTTACAACCGTTCAAAAGCATTTTGGTGAGAAATTTCCAGAAAAAATATTATTCGTTATGGTATTTAGGCGTCATAGTGTGATTTCTTTATATTTGGCTGGAAAATCTAAAGTGGCTATCGATAGACAACTTCAGCATTTAAATTTAAATAAATCAATTGTGTGTCGTACCATCGACGTCAAGGAATTGGACGGAAGAAAACTACAACATCAGTAGAAATGGTTCGATAAGTAAAGAAGCGACTTGCTTTATTCGACCGTGGCATCAGAATAAATACAGAATATTATCGCGAAAATATTCTGGATGGTGTATTAAAGCCTTGTGCACGCAAACATTTTGGCCGCAGACCTTCGATATTCCAACAGGACTCAGAACCATCGCACCCACCACGCTCGCTTTATTTCCAGAACACAATGGCCACCAAAATCTTCGGATACCAATCCGTTGGACTATAGTGTCTGAAGTATTTTGGAAAGCAAAGTTGGTACTAAAAATACTATTTAAATTTAAATAAATCAATTGTGTGTCGTACCATCGACGTCAAGGAATTGGACGGAAGAAAACTACAACATCAGTAGAAATGGTTCGATAAGTAAAGAAGCGACTTGCTTTATTCGACCGTGGCATCAGAATAAATACAGAATATTATCGCGAAAATATTCTGGATGGTGTATTAAAGCCTTGTGCACGCAAACATTTTGGCCGCAGACCTTCGATATTCCAACAGGACTCAGAACCATCGCACCCACCACGCTCGCTTTATTTCCAGAACACAATGGCCACCAAAATCTTCGGATACCAATCCGTTGGACTATAGTGTCTGAAGTATTTTGGAAAGCAAAGTTGGTACTAAAAATACCAAAGTAAGCGCTTCGCCGGGAATGGGCCAAAATGGAAATCTCAAAAAACTGCTTATCGAAACATTATTAAATGGTTGTAATACAGATATGAGTAAGATGTGGTAATTTTTAAACAATAAAATGGGAAGGGATCATTGGCCCTTGGGAAAAGTTGTAGATGTCATTTTCATAGATGTTGACAAGACGGAGAAATTTAAAAGAGACTTCATAGACTCAGTTTGGTCTGTCGAAAGTGACGATGAATCTAGTCGTAAAAGAACTTGACGCATTAGACATCAACGTTTTTTGACTTCACATAGGCGTTCGACGGTTTGTCGTGTGATCTTTTTAACATCCTGCTGGAAAAGGTCATGTGATATTCAAAGGTGAACAGAAATAGAACTCTGTATACCAAACAACACATGTTACTCGCCTACAACGATGACATCGATATAATGGGTCGAACATTGCGAGCAGTAACAGCCACCTTTGAACAAATTGTGAAGGAGCCTGCCAAAGTGGGTATGGCAGTAAATGGCGTGAAGACCAAGCTGATGGTATCAACGCGCAAGACGTCCAGTAGACTCTGACCAACTGTGGAACTTGAGAACTACAGGTTCGTGGTAGTCAAAGATTTTATATACCTTAGTACCGCCATAAATAAAACATCAATTTTGAAAGCATTTTAGAAACAGGGCCGTTGTAATATGGATGTGAAGCACGGGTACTTACGCAAGCAGATGAGTGTTTGAGAGAAAAAATTCTCCGAAAGATCTATGGGCCAATCTGCGTTGACGGTGAATATCGTCGTCGAGTGAACCATGAGTTGTACCATCTATTCTCAGACATCGGCATTGTCAGACGTATCGAGCTGCAGCGACTACGTTGGCTAGGTCATGTTGTGAGAATGGCACAGCACAAAAGCACAAAATTGATGACTTCCGCAGAAGGTACAGGAAGATGGAAAGATCAAATTGAAGAGAACATTTCGATACATGGTCTTTTAATTTGGAAGAGCTGTGCGCAAGACCGAGCGCCCGGGAAATATTTTTTAAGCTCGGCTTATGGAACAAATGTTCTGTCACAAGCCAGCTAAGTAAGTAAGTAGGCGTTCGAAAAAGGAAAATTAAGCCATCGATATCAATATGTGCAATTTAGAGGAAAAAGTAGTTAACGTTTAGCACGAAGTTCCGCAGGGAAGTGTGTTTGACCACTATTGATTAAAAATGTTAAACTTCCGAAAAGAGAAATTTGCGAATGTAATGAATTATACCAAAATAATCAAAAACGGCAACTCTGTTTTTTTTGTGTATACTTCCAGTTCTCTCTCATTTTATATAAAACTGAGGGGTTTCTCTGTTTACCTAACCGGGTGAACTTCACGCACGCACGCCTGCGCGTAAAGAAAAAAGAGGCAACATGATATTTAATACACCGGATCTGTTCGTGACAATTTCTAAAGAACAAGCGAAGTAGCTAATAAAGTAAAAAAGCTGTATTTTTACACAATGGCGAAATTGAGTAATTGTAGAAGTAAATTTAATTACCACCATTAGAGAGCAGTTGTGGATTTTTTTTCGAACAACAGAAAAAATCTATGTGAAGAATGCCAATGAATGGATATCTTCCTATTTGTAAAATTCCTTAGATATTAAACGGAAGTCCTTTAACGAGCCATTGTTCTTTTTTTGTTGTTGAGGAAGTAAAACACCTGGTTTTAGGGAAACCAAAAATAGAGAAGAGAACGAAACGGCATGGAACGTGCCACAGTATTTTAATGTCATGGAAGTTATTCTATTTCCAATACCTTGAAATAATGGACGGATACCCTGACGAATTCTATGTCAATATAGACATGTCCATCGCACCGTTGAGATCACGAAAGAGATGACAATATTGCTACAACATGTCTCCTAGTAGACAAAGTATAAACCCTCAAATGAATGTCCCGCCCATTTCTTTTAAAACTCCACACCTGTAATTAACCTTAAAAAATATTCTAATCCACGCCTGATATGGAGCTTGAAAAAATATTCTTTTGAAAATGCACGCCTGATATGGAGCTTGAAAAAATATTCTTTTGAAAATGCACGCCTGATATGGAGCTTGAAAAAATATTCTTTTAAAAATCCACGCCTGTAGTGGACCTTGAATAATTGAAAACAAATCTGCTCTGATAATTTTCCTAACATATACATTGAATTAATTATCCACCTACAGTCATTATTGGTCACCATTTTAGTGGCTATCTTTAAAAATAAATATTTAAAAAAATATGAAATAAATATTTCAATGTTATCAATATTGCCAGGCAATATTGATTTCCCCATACTACCCTACCTGTTAATAGGTATACAACTGATAACCTTGGAAATGGAAAAGTGACCAACCAGTCACCGACATTAATAAATGGGAAAATAAATATTATCTCCTTCTCTCTCTCTACCTCTCCCACTGGTTCTCTATCTTCAAAAAGGTATAGTTGGAAAATTTTTTAAAAAAATTCTAGGTCGCTCTGTGATGACAGATTTACAGTATATGTGACACGATCACCCGGAATGCCAGTTGTTGTTGGTGTTGTTCGAAATTGTTGATAATTCTTGTCACAGATATAAGAGATGCGTTCGTGTCACACACACGCACACATTCAAACACACACGTGAAGTTCAGACATAATCTGCTATCACACTGTGCTGTATGAAGTGAATGAATTTTGTAATACCCAATTCAATTTAGTAGTGACAGAGAGTGACAGATAAAGAATAAAAATACAAAAATTAACAGGTCACACAACAACAACAAACATTTTCGAGTTTTCTTTTTCAATTGTTATAGCTGTTGTTGTAGATAAGTTGGCTGTAATAGTTGCGTCAGAGATTTGAAATTTAATCTGCCACTATGTATGTGACACCACTAGTTTTACGTTTTATTTCTTTATTTATTTGTTTTTGGAAATTGGCTAAGAATCGAATATGTCAGTCTGGTGGCATTTCAGATATTTTTGTCGTCGGCAGAATAAATTGTTAATGTTCAAGAAAATTACGTGAAGAGTTTTTAAATATTTTTTTTGGATATTTTAATATACGAATCTGGTATTAACAAAGTCCAGCACATTAATTTGTTAATACCCTCTACCAAATTTGTAATTCCGTTTGTAACACTCCAAAATATCTATCGGAGATCCCATAAATTATACATATTCTTGATGAGACAATTTAGCCATAGTTGACTGTCGGTTGAAAACATTATAGAGTTCGGAGTATTTATGATACCAGCCCCATAGACACTGGTTGGGGGCTATCGTATCATAAATACTCCGAACACTACAGGGTGATGTGAAAAAAATGCAACCAACTTCAGACTGCTGTCATTTCTAAGCCACTCGTTCATTATATTATTTACAAGCGAACAAAAGCATTTTGGTGAGAATTTTCCAGAAAAAAATTTATTCGTGATGGAATTCAAGCGTCATAGTGTGATTTCTTTATATTTGGCTGGAAAACCACAAGTGACTATCGTTAGAGCACTCCAAAATTTAAATATGAATTAATCTGTTGTTTCTCGTACCATCGAAGTCAAGAAAGAGGACGGAAGAAAACTGCAAAATTAGCAGAAATGGTTCGAAAAATAAAGAAGCGACTTGATCGAAACCCGTGTCGCAGTGACCGAAAAATGGCTCGTGAACTGAACTTATCGCAATATTCCATTCGGCAAATATTGGAAAATGAGCTCAGGGTAAAGCCATTGAAATTCCAAAAAGTGCAAGAACTTACACCGCAACAGAAAGAAAATAGACTCAAAAGAGCTATAGATTTTTTATTAATTTCGAGATGAGCTACATGATCAAAGTTGCAATTAAAAGGAAAGTCAGAGAGATACAACATTCCCACCATTATGCGACGCGTTTCGCCGTTGGTTAAGCGGCTCATCAGGCAATATGGTTTACAAATGTCGCGAAATTGCATCTACGAATTAAATTCAACCGTGTCAAGGTTCGGACATTTGACATCACACCAGAATATTCCCTTTTCAGAGCAGATTTTTTGTAGTTACGCACTTTTTCCATACAGACTACAATATTTTTTCTTCAATGGTATACAACTGCATATTGTGCAACCTTAGGAAGATAAGTAGGTGGCTTTGAACCCTAAGAGTTGCTTCGCTTGACCGAAAGTGGTGAACTGCCGGATTTGGGTTTCTCCGATTAGAAAACATTCGTTGTTCAGCAGTTTGTAAACAAACAAAATGATCGTGTTTACTTGTCAAAGAGGTCAGCTGAAAATGTGCACCTTCGGTTGGCCAACAGAACTCAAGCGCCGGCCATGGTTATGGTGTGGGCCGCCATAACAGCCGATGTTCGTTCTCCGTTCCCGTATTAATTGACCGTGGCATCGGAAAAATGCCACATATTATCGCGAAAATATTCTGGAGGGTGTATTAAAGACATGGGCACGCAAACATTTTGGCCGCAGACCTTGGACATTCCAACAGGACTCAGCACCATCGCACTCAGCCAGCGCGCAAAGGCCACCAAAATCTCCGCATACCAATCTGTTGGACTATTGTGTCTGGAGTATTTTAGAAAGCAAGCTTGGCACTAAGAAATAAAAATTATGGCGTTGATTTTGTTGCAGTTTTTTTATCTCCGCCTGTACACCGAAATATATCAAATATGGGTTGTGTTAGTCAATAATCAGGGTTTTATAAAGGCCCTATTTCAAACTCTTTGGAGTATCATATATAGCGAAATCAAAAGAGTTTCACAAGCAAAGAGACATAACCTCTTCTCAAAGGTTCAGGATGCAAGGAATATTATACCCAAGGATTAAATTGAGCTTTTTATTTTTTATAAATTGAGCTTATCATCTACATAGCCACACTGTCCCTTCAACTCTCCTATATAGAATTAGTGTCAGCTCGTCTATAGACTCACTGGTCTTTCAGTTCGTCTATGTAGGCTCACTGGCCCTTCAGCACTACTATATAGACTCACTGACCTTACAGCTCGTCTATATAGACTCACTGAAGCTACATCTCGTCTTTATAGACTCACTGGCCCTTCAGCTCGTCTAAATAGCCTCACTTACCTGTCAGCTCGTCTATAGACTTAAAATTCCGGATAATTTTCATATATAATATTTGAAAAACCAATTAGCAAATACATAACATTGTTGATGGTCGGACGGTTTGAGTACATGTGTTAGCTAAACATTATATGTCTCAAGTGCTTTTGTATGGGGCGCTTGTCCAATGAGGCATCTGGGTTTCCTTCAACATCAGCAATATTCTCAGGGTCGTATTCATCCACCATCCACCCTAAAGTGGAGTGTCCGTTGGAATCACAAAAAAGTAGTGTTTGAAGTGGCATATATCGCCCTCGTTTCGCTTGGGCCTCCATATAACCGTATCCTTCCAATATTCGGATACGTGTGTACGTTTGTGCGTAAGTTTGTGGAGAGGTATTAGATGTAGTTAATTAACGAGACTTGATCTAGACTTGGTAAAGATGTTAGGTTGTGCAAAGATTGGTTTAAATCAGATATCAAATTCAAATCGCATGATATTATAAAATTATTTTTCAGCAACATATTAACCATTTTGTATCAGAAGGAGTTTACCGATATATTCCCCATCTCCGAACATAATCCTAAACCCTGAAAATATAAGTCTGTAGAACTCCGCGCCTTTGAATTATAATATCGTATGGTAAATATTCTAGACGAATTCGACAGTTCTTCATAATGTACAGTTTATGCGAAATTTTTTTAGGGTTCGTTGATAAAAAGTTTTCTCAGCAGGGATTGGGTGAAATTAAAAAAGGAAACATTTCTTTTAGGACCCTATTTAAAATCTTATGAACGGCATTTTTGTAAAATATTTGGAGGTAAAAAAAGATTGCGATTCAATAAAATAAAAATGAAAATACGCACTAGAACTCGAGATAGAAGGGAGGATATGATTTACAAAAATATTCCCCATTCGAAGAAATTTGTCCTCTCATCAGGCCCCCGCTCCTTATAGGTTGTTAATATACTCTTCAAAGGGCTTTCATCCTCCAAAAGCTTGTTTCGCAGTGCATAGGGAACTCAAAATTTCCATTTTAATGTGATGAGTATATAAAGTTCGGCCGGGCCGGGCCGGGCCGATATTCTGTTCCTTTTACTTGTTAATAATTGCTTAGTTTATAATTGTCAAATGTCAACGAATAAATCATCAAAAAGTGACAGCTACTAAAATACTGGTTAATTCGGAATAATTCCTCTTATTGGAAACCCATTTACTACATCCAAAAATAATCGAAACAGTTCCGTTTGTCATGCTGATATGTTGGTCAAAACTTTACTTAAAACCTCTCGTCATTCTACTATCACTTACAATTAATATTTCGCCATACAAATGGTGACTAAAAAATCTAAAAATTATTTATGAACGCACAATTATCTTAAAAAAATAAAAAACTTAAAACTTAATTCATTGAAATATGTCTATATGAGACTCCCTTTGGGCATATCACCTCAGGTAATATTCTAAATACAAAAAAAAATTGTTTTGATTGTACTTTCAAGATAAGATAATATACCAACCAACTTAATAGTATAAGGAGAACACATTTAAAAAAATTCAAAATTATACTAAAAAATAATTATGAAAATAAAAATTTAAAAATCATATTTTGTTTCTGTTTGTGTAAATTTCTGGCTAATGTAAAAATGATGTTCTCTTCCAGATTTACAACCACAAACAAATTTTATCTGTATTCTTCATTCAATGTTTGTTCTGCTGTTTGTAAATGGTGTTTTTTTTTTTCTTCTTTTCTTTACTAAATGAGTTAATCAGTCATTTAAACAACTCGTAGAGTAGTAGTAGATTTCCAGCAAACTAATTGTGCGATAACCTAAATTAAGACGAAATGTATGACGTCGTCGTTCAGCAGTCACTTGCCAATATAGCGTCTCTTCGTAAAGATATGGAATTTTTTGTATAAGTTTTTCTTTATCGAGAAGTAATGGTTTGGAACGAAGCTTGTTGTGAGGCTGAATTCTATTGGTCTCATAGAGATATAAGAAATTATAAGTGCTTCTAATATATCTATATAAGACCTGCAAAAAAACCCTTCTGTCTATAAATATTCTAAGCTTCTTGATGAAGGTCTTCTGTGGGTAGAGCTCATGTTGATGAACTTTCAGGTCTCATGATCAAGATTATTTTCCTATGAAATAACTGTAGAATATTTTCCATCTATGGAGGACTTATAAAAGGTCTTATATAACTTCCAATACAAGGTGAAGTGGATACTATATTTGTCAGTCCGTTCCTCGAGCTAGTCAATATAGATTAACTGACCTGTCAGCTCGTCTATATAGACTCACATATCTTCAGCTTGTCTACATAGCCTCACTGTCCCTTCAACTCTCATATATAAAATTACTATTCTTCAGCTCGTCCATATAGACTTACTGAACTGCCAGCTCGTCTATAGACTCACTGGTTCTTCAGTTCGTCTATATAGACTCACTGACCCTTCAGCTTGTCTATATAGACTCAATGGCCCTTCATATCGTCTTTATAGACTCACAGGCCATTCAGCTCGTCTATATAGACTCACTGGCCCCTTCTTCGGATCGTCCATATAAACTCATGGACCCTTCAGCTCATCTATATAGCCATAGAATCACGTATCTTCAGCTCGTCCATATAAAATCATTGACCTGCCAGCTCGTCTATATAGACTCACTAGTCCTTCAGCTCTTCTATATAGACTTACTGGCCCTTCAGCTCGTCTAAAAATACCCACTGGTCCTTCAAGTCGTCTATATAGACTCACTGGCCCTTCAGCACATATGTATAGACTCACTGGCCCTTCAGCACATATGTATAGACTCACTGGCCCTTCAGCTCGTCTGTATAGACTCACTGGCCCTTCAGCTCGTCTGTATATACTCACTGGCCCTTCAGCTCGTCTGTATATACTCACTGGCCCTTCAGCTCGTCTATATAGACTCACTGGCCCTTCAGTTCGTCCATATAGACTCCCTGATCTTTCAGTTTGTCTATATAGACTCCCTGATCTATCAGTTTGTCTATATATACTCAGTGGCTGCTCAGCTCGTCTATATAGACTCACTGCCCCTTCAGTTCGTCTATGTAGACTCACTGGCCCTTCAGTTCGTCTATGTAGACTCAATGGACCTTCAGTTCGTCTATGTAGACTCACTGGCCCTTCAGCTCATCTATATAGGCTCACTAGCCCTTAAGCTCGCCTATATCGCTTCTTTTATTTTCAGATCGTCCATATAGACTCACAGGCCCTTCAGTTGGTGGATATAGACTCTCAGGCCATTTAGTTCGTCTATAAAGACTCAAAGGCCCTTCAGTTCGTGGATATAGATTCACTGGCCCTTCAGTTCGTCTATATAGACTCACTGACCCTACAGCTCGTCTATATCAACTCATTGACCCCTCAGCTCATCTATATAGACTCGCTGGCTCTTCAGTTCGTCTATGTAGACTCACTCACCTTTAGCTCGTCTATATAGACTCAGTGGTCCTTCAGCACGTTCATATGGGAACATTGGCCCATCAGTTCGTCTATATAGACCAAGTGACCCTTCAACTCGTCTACACAGACTCTTCGACCCGTCAGCTCGTCTAAAGACACTTACTGGATATTGAGCTCGTATGTATAGATTTACTGACCCTCCAGCTCATATATATATGGAATAACTGGCCATTCAACTCGTCTTTATAGACTCACTGGCCATTTAGCACTCTACTATAGACTGAGCTTTCAGTACATCTACATAGATCTGAAACTTTAGTACATCTACATAGACCCAAAAGCTGTTTAATTCGCTTCTAAAGACATGCTAGCTCTTCAGATCACCAGACCTTCCGTCGTTAGGAAGGCACAATACAAAATATTGACAATCACATCACAATCCTACCCACATTAATCTCCAAACTAAGCTTGTTCGCGATTTCGCATAATCCGTCTTTATAGAAATGTTTTCCTTGTTTTTTCATGTGCTTTTCGATCTTTACTTCTCTTCTCTTCATTCATTCATTTATGCACCGCGAGCCGACCAAACATCAATTCATTCATTTATTCTCTTCGTAAATTCCATTGAATACTTTTTGCCTTAGGCAAGAATATATTTATTAGTTATTCGGTTCCGTACCTCTACAAAAAAAATACTAGGGAGCCACATGCATTCATAATCGCCACATTGATCAGTGGAGATCGGGGGGAGAAGGAGATAAATTCGAATTCGACATATTCGCCTTTTCATATTTAAATTGGCTGCAATTGATGACAATTTAGCTGCGCACATAGTTCAGCTCAGTTCAGTTCGCATGCGAATAATTCAGATGACACTGAACTGCTCTGCAAAAGCCGAAAGATGATCGGCTGGACCAGTGACAAACAAACGCATTGTGAATGTGGATA